AGAGATTTTTGCAATATATTTTTCACACAAAGTGTATGATAACCTAATGGTCGCTAGCCATAAACCTAATAGAAAACAAATGGGACAATCTTATTGAATAGTTGAATATCAATCTTTGACTGTAGTTATAACAATTAGAATTTGAAGGACCATTTAATTGACCTTTATAGTCACTTTCAATTATAACATTTCATTTGTAATTACATTAATTCATTGGAACAAGTATATATATATATATATATGTGTGTGTGTGTGTGTGTGTGTGTGTGTGTGTGTGTGTGTGTGTGTGTGTGTGTGTGTGTGTGTGTGTGTGTGTGTGTGTGTGTGTGTGTGTGTGTGTGTGTGTGTGTGTGTGTGTGTGTGTGTGTGTGTCTCTAAAGCACATTGCTTGAGATCATCGAAGGTGAAGGAGTTGACTAGGGGTGGTAAACCGGTGGAGTTGGGCTGATCGGTATAGTTCTATGTTCGAGAGAGCAGGAGGGCATGCCTTGCGAGAAGAAGTATGATTGCTGAGGTGGTGCCAAGAGATAGAGGGCAAGGTCGGTTGGATGTGTTGTGATCGTTCGATAGATGGTTTTTCGGAGGGTACTGGAGCAGCGGATGATTGAAGAGTATTGTCGGCTGACGGGTAGCCTATTGTAGCAGGTTTTGTCTGGTGTCAGTTTGAAAAAAATAAAGCGGCGCATTTTATAGGCCAGAAGCTGAGACTTCCATAGTTTTGAATAGAGTCAGAGCAATCAGATGAATTTGGAAGACCGACCATCATAGCGTATGTCTAAAGAAACGTCGGTCAGAGGGTGATTTTTCAGGAAAATCAAGTTTAGTATTATAAAACTGCCTAAGAATTGAATGACAGTTATGAGAATATATAAGAAAAATATATAATAATTGAGTGTTATTGATGCAAATCCTTCATCTTTTGAGTTCCCCAAGCATTGAGAGGCTATCATAATGTATGAATTTGAGCTTGTTGAGAATTGAATTTATAATTAGAAATGACCGATCAGAGGCAGAGGACCGACTGATAGTTGATGGCCAGTCAGAGACAATCAAAACAGCGGTCGACAGAGGAGTGTCGTTGTTCAGTGGGTGCTTTGTTGGCGGCATTTATTAGATTTGAGTAGTATGTAAGAAAATATATAAATATACAAGAATTGCATGGTATTTATGCATATCTTTCCTATTTCAGGGGTGGTCGGCCAACATGTGGTTGACCGAGGCAGAGTTGCGCGCTCGAAAATGTGACCAGAGAGGCGCTGCGGTTCGATCGACAAATACATAGTAGAGCATTGATCAACTAATTAGCTGGGATTTAACCTGGATTTTACCAGGTACTCATGCTTGGACAGCCTAAAGTCCCAGATTTGTAAATTTATACTGGTGCTCCATGTCAGCGTGGAAGATGTTTAAATTTACATTCCTCCATTGTTTCGGATAAAGAGTGGAATGACAGGAGGTAGGTCTCTAGGCAGATAGGTTGAGAAAATTATACGCGTACGTGCAAGGTTTGGGTGGTATGTAGTCCGATCGGCAGGATGAAGTGCAGTCGGCGAAATTCAGCCTGCGGGGGCGAGCACCCCACTTGCGACAAAAGAGAGATGTTGAAATGGAGTTTTCTATTAGAGAAGAATAGTGGAGTGGAGTGAGTGAAGAAATGAGAGAGGGAGAGCATAGGAAGAGGAAGAGAAGGTCTCGGTTGAAAGTGGAAGTGGAGAGAAAGCTCGCAGCATTTGAGGCGATAGAGATTGAAAGTGTGGGTTGCCTCTGTTTCCACCCAATCTATAGAGAAATGCACAGAAAGAGATGAAGTTTCGAAAAGATCACTGATGATGAAGAGTAAAGGAAGTGGATCGGCCTTTGCGCAAGTTCCCCTTGTGTGTTTTTTGCTAGGAGTGTGTCTCTGAAGAGTTTTCTTTCGATGTTAGCTCGTCTTCTTATTCACAGCACGACCAACACTCACAGTACCTTTTAAAATGTTGATCCAAAGATTGGACCGAAGAGAGGTGATTGAGTGAAGGGGAGAAATGAGGGAGAAGAGATAGAGAAGAGGACTATCTAAGCCGAGGGGAAATTGGGTGTTTCCGGGCTCTTGGACCTATTTTATTCCAAAAAATTAGAGGTTACAATGAGGAGTGCCCCCAAAAAGGTTTACATATTGAAACCCTCTTATTTATAGAAGATAGAGGGTAAAAGGCACAAAAGTTACATATTTAATTATGCCTTGAAGCGAGAAACAAACGACATTTTAGTCATTTTTATTGTAACCACTAGATCGTCTCGAGATCAATGCATACATTCATGTCTATGTTAGTCGACTGATTGAAGTGAGATGGCCAAGGAAGAGAGCTTGGTTGGCTGACTGAAACGAGATGGTCGAGGGGGAGAGCTTGGCTTGTCGACTGAAGTGAGGTGGCCTACTACTGGATTCCTCAAGATCTATGAAGACCATGTTTGAGTATACACCAACAAAAAGATTTTACTATAAGAATTTTATTAGTTAAAGCTTTTTCCAATAATCTATAGATGGAAAAGTTTGTTTCTTCTTTTTTTAAGATATTCGAACCTTTAACTTCTAATCATTCGTCTATTATTATTTATTTTGGTAATTTTCAAAAAAAAAATTTGTAAGTTTATGTATAAGCATTATTGGAGTTGTCAAAATTTTACTTTCATTACAGATTCTTCTTGAGTTATAAAATTGAATGGAGATTCACTTTTTGTTCTTTGTAACAAATTGAAAAATTTTAAAATTGCTTAGAAAAAATAAACTTGGATTTATAGTAATTTTATTTCTAATAATATTCATTTACTAAAGAATATACAATTTATGAATATGTCTCAATTTCATAACAACTCGAATGATAACTTTATTGTAGAAGAGGTGGCTATTATCAAGTCTCTGTTAGCTAATACTTCAGATTGTCAATATAAATGATTAAAAATATATATAAATGCTCTTGAATTTCTAAAGGTGAGGAGGTTGTAACATTTTAGTATTAAAAAATCAAAATCAATTGTTGCATGAATTTTATAAAGAAAATTTAAGTTAATAGTTCTTATTTTAATATTCAAGAAAATATTTCTAGAAAAGCATTTTCTTACTTTTATGAGGCTTTCAATAGCCCTATTCCTAAATATGCTTACGACTCTAATTTTCAAAATTATTTCTCTTAGAAGAGTGGTTTATCTTTAAAATCATTACCTTGGTATTATTTTGGTGTCCCTATCAAACCTTCTTTGTTGCTTGCAACTAGCATTTCTAAGTTATGGGATAAATTACAAAATTTGCTGGTAGATTTCATTGTTTAAACATAAAATTTGGAGTTAATTACATTATTTATTTTGTGTTATTAATATTCCTAAAGGTTAATAAAGAAAATTTTTATTTTGTGTCATAATTTTATTTTCAATAATGGTTCTAATATTAAATTTCATAATAATTTCTGGTTTAAAGCTTCTAAACCTAAAATTTATGGTGATATCAGTTTGCTTAATTTAGATATTATTAATTTAATGTGTAAATGTAAAACTATATGTAAATACTTTAGTTTTATTTATCTTTTAGCTACTTAGTGTTTTAATCATTATGAGTCTCTTTGGATTAAGCATGCTCTTCTCTTTTTTTGAAGAATTTAGCTCATGTGAATTTTAAAATTAGGATTTGTTTTCAATTTGATATTTCTTCTAATAGCTCTCTTCTTTTCTTTTTTGGTCCATGGTTAAATGGTTCTTCTCTTTTTGAGAATTTTAGAAATATTGTTTTTATTTACTTTAATATTTATACTTTCACTAAAATGGGGGAAGATATTCTTAATAATAAATGATTTTTTTTCCTTTTAATTTTCATGATATTCGTTTGAATTTTGCTCTAGATTTTCATATTAAAAATGGTTTCACTTCTTGTCTTTAGAATAATTATAATAAGTGCACTCATAAATTCAATTATAATTTGTTTTTTCATAGCTACTTTGTTGTTCGTTGATAACATGTTTCATATTCTCTCTGAAGTAGATGCTTTGGCTTCTAATATTTTTAAAAAATCATACTAGTTTGATGTTCATGTTACAACTTATTATATTTGGAGGGAGAGAATGAAATATTTTTAAAAAGTATTTTTCTTCTTTAGATATTATGGTTTTTAACATTCATGAAGTCATTAAGTGAAAGAATAGAAGATGAAAATTTAAATAAAATATTCCTTCATTTATTAAAGATCTTTATAAATTGTAAAAATTATTGTTTGATTAGGTGGTTAGGTTTTATTTTTACTTAGATTATTGTGTTCTTTTCTTTTTTGGGTCCATTTTTATTTTTGATTTTATCTCATCGCATCCCCTTGTTTTTTATTTTATTTAATACTTATCAATTGGTTGGTTATTCATTTTAATTTAATATTTTTGCTTTTTTTTTTCTCATCTATTATGTTCCTTTTTTATTTTTTTCTTCTATTTTATTTAGGTAGGTTCTGTTGGTTTCATGTATGTTCTTAAAATTTAACAGTATTTTTGAATGTTTATGGTCTTTTGATTTAGATATTAATAATGCTCGGAAAAATTTTTAATATTTTTCTTTCAAGTATGTTTTTGGATCAAGTTTTCAATCATTAGTAATTCACATGTTGATGTCTTATTGATTTCATTAACTCTTCCTGTTAGTTGTTGTTCATTTTCTTTTTCATTTTGTTCCTATTGATTGGTTGTGCTTCTTTCACTTCATTAGGTTGTTCTCCTTTTGGATGTTCAGTTCTTATCTGATGTCAGTTTACTTTTCTGTGATTGTGTTAGTGTGTATTCTTTTTCGTTATTTTGTGTAGTTGGATTGAATTTCGTTGATCTGCTTTCATGTTTGTTTTTGAGGTTTTTTTGAGCTTTTTTTGAGCTTTATCTATCATTCGGGTTTTGTCTTGTCATGCTTTTTTTCTTTTTCCTGTTATTTGGTGTTATTATGTGTTTTTGTTTTTTTTCTTTTGGATGTCTTCAAGTTTTCATTACTTTTCTATTTTTCTAGTTGGTTGTTGTTCATTTTTGCTTCTTGGGTCTTTTTATGTCTAGTTGTGTCGGGTTTTCAAATTATTTGCATATTTAAATATATGCCTTAGTATTTCTTGATCAATGTTTGGATATTATTTAAATTTTTTAATTGATAATACTATTTGTTTTGAAGGTATTCCTCTAATGTTAACGTATTTGTTATTGTTCGTTTTCTTTTCGCTCATTTTATGTTGAGCTATGATGATCTCCAGCCATATACTAAAATTCAGACATTTGTTTAAATATTTATGGTCATTTCCATTTTACATATTCATTATACTTGAATGAAATTTTAAAATTTTCTTACAAGCAAGTTTCTAAGCTCATTTTTCTAGTCTGAGATTTCAGGTTTTTCAGCATTGTATTAAGTTCAACTGGCTTTTGCGTATATTTCTAATCCTTTGATTTTATTGCATGGATAAAATTTTAATGTTTTTTATCATCTCAATTCGTATCCTTCTTTTAATGTCAAGTTGAGATCTTAGTTCTCTATTGTAAAGTTGATTATATGCCTCTGTTTCCTGTTGTTGTCCTTTTTATGTGGTTTTGCAGGCATTGTTATTATACAGCTGGGTGTGCTCTTGCCTGTGGTGGAGAATATTGTTGATTGTTTTTCTGCTGTCAGATTCTTATTCAGAGCTACAGTTGGTGAATAATCATGGCTGATATTCAGAGCTTTTTAGAGTTATTACTTCAACTTTAAGTTCTGTTGATGCTTGGATTTGCCAGTCTTGACCAATCATTTTAACTGTGGGGCTTTTCTTTTTGTTGGATCTTCTGCAAAAAGCTCATGTTTTTATGCCGCTCAATTTATTTTGATTGTTTGTTGATTTATAGGCTTTCTGATTTGTTTAGTTTATTGTTCGCGTCTTTGTTTGCATTTGTATTTATGCTTTTCTGTATTCTCTTGAGTTGTAATTCTTTTCTTCTTAATAAAGTTGAATCTGGCCCCAACTTTTCCCAAAAAAAAAGACGACTACAATAACAGTGAGGAAGCTCAAACAAAAAAGCATGCTAAAAATACTGTTAAAGCGACAGTACAGCGACAACTGGGAATAATTAGTTCAATCATTGACAACAATAATTAGTTAAAAATAATTACGCTGCAATTTCAGTTCAGAAATTCACCAATTACGCTGATTCAATCACAATATTTACAGAATCAGGTAGGTGAACCAATCCTTCATCCGGCCCAGCGGCTCCAATTCTATGGGACGACTTGCAGGCTATTCTGGCCATCTCACAGTTCGTAGAGCAGAGGGAAATTGAACCAAAATGGGGGCGGAAAATCAAAATGGGAAAAAAAAATCACAATCCGAACCCGGATCTTAGACGGACCATTTCTGATCGCTTAATGTGGAAGATTTATAAGAATGCTAGAGGTCACCAGACCTGTTTCTCCGCGAAGCCGCGAAGGAGAGGGAATGCGTCGGCGCGCCAGGAGCTGTTGCTTCCGGCACGGCAGCAACAGCAGGATCCGGTGACTGGGTAGTCCAAATCGTAGGTTGCGGCGAAGCGGAAGGCGCAAGTGGAGGAGATCTGACGGAGGATCTGCAGAAAGACGGACTCATCGCAGGGTAGGGAGAGCGGGCCGGGTTGGGAGAAGCCGTACTCCTCCTCGGCCTGGCGGAGGATGCTCAGGAAGGCTGGATGGTTGAGATGTGTTGCCTTCATCACGAATCTCCGGCTACTGCTTCCGACGCAGACAACTACGTGCCCTGCCGGCACGTCAATCGCCGGCGGGAACAGAGAACATGATTCCATTGCTCGGATCCTCCACTGGCGAAGCATCTGCCGAAGCCTCACAATGTGCTGGATTTTGCTGCACTTTCCCATTTCGATCTTGAGATAAGGTCGAGTCTCTATCTTCTCTCGCTTTCAAAGTGAGTTGATTGGTTTTCTTTCTCAAGAGAGGGGAAGTCCAAGTAGAAAGAACAGTAGGCTATTTATGGACTACAAGGATAAGTAAAAGCCCTTGCAGTTGGAGATAATCACGAACGGAGCATGGTTAGAATTAGTAATGTAAATCAGCCCAAAACGTGCGAGGCCAGGCTCAACTCGTGATTCATATTTCGAGCTCAAAAAAAATGTTCGTGTTCAACTCATTTGCTTAGCGAGTCAAACACAAGCTGTTCACAGAATAATAATCATTTTGACAATCCTAATCACATAGTCATAAGATGTTAAGGGTTAGGAAAAGATTTAAAAATTATTGTTTATATTAAAATATTGTTTGAATCTAATTTAATAATTTTTATTCTATTTTCTTAATTAATACTTGTAATATAATAGATTATAAATCTTTATAGCTTTGTAGTAAATTAAATTTTTTTTAAAATATTACTCATCAATATATATACATATACATATTTATATAATTAATGAGTAGTATCTCGAGTCAAAACGAGTCCAACACGAAGAAATAAAATCCGATTCGTTAACTTAATGAACGAGCTGAACAAGAATTACTCACCAACAACCTTCTGACGGTACCTATTCACTTTTCGCATTGCAGGCTTTCGTACTGAAATAACACTGTACCTATTGACGGAATAACTAATCTTTGTTAAAATGCAGTAACCGGATTAACAATATCCACTCGAGGGAACAGCAGCATCGATCGATGAGACGATTTCCATTAGCAACACGCTGATTACGCTGCGTCCGGCGTGGTGGCGTGGATGACCAAAAGGAAAAATATTTACTTTTTGAAAGCTTATATATGCCGCCTGAAAATCCATGGCAGGAAATATTAGTTGAAGATATAAATTAAAGAGAAATTTACATACATATCAAACATTTCTTTGTATTTATATATTTATGTTGAATTATTTAAGGATATGGGACATGTACGGTTTGTGAATCTAAACAATGTGGGAGAGACATTGTGAGGCGAGTGAAGGTGGCGGAAAAAAGTATTTAAGTTTTAGGAAATATGTGTTACCCTCTAATAGATCTCTCTTTTCTTCGTTTCACTCTACAATATAACTCGCAACGTTCTTGCCCTTGCAGTGCTACAACAAATAGAAAAATAATAAATTGAAGTTCATATTGTACGGACCTGTTGAAATTTGTCGTTGATGGATATATTTATAGGTGGCAAGAGGCTAGTAAGTGTGCATGAATAGTGATGGGTTGGAGTTTGGTTTTTTCTCTCATGGAGGCACACTTGAAGGATCACTCAAATAGCTTTGTGGTGTAGCTTGATAACTGCATGTGAGTTGACTGTAGGAACTCAATATGTATTGGTGAGCTCAGGTGGAGGAGCTAATATGAATATGCTGAGCTCAGTGGAGGAGTTCGTCAAGTCCTTCTGAGAGGTGCAAGCCTACAACTGTAGCCTCAATGGATGTGATTGACAAGTATAATCTAGTTGCTACCATGCTTTAGATGTGTGATAATTTAGCTCGGTCCATTATGCTTAGAAGGAAAATCTAATGTTTGGGCTTCTTTGATGGCTTAGAAAATCTACTTTTCGATGTATATTTAGATCCTTGGTTCTTTTAGCGCTTAAAAGGGATTAGAAGAATAAGAGAATGAGAAGAAAATTAGCCACCTCTATGCATTTCTAGAGGAGTGACGGAATCACAACAAGTACTCTTCCCAGTTATGGTTCGATAAGAAAGTGCATAATATTCAACGAGAATAGTACTTTCCACCAGCACTAAGCTTTACTGTTTTGGCCTTAAAGAATAGTCATAAGAGTCTACAGCTGAGCTCAGACTTTTCTGCTTCTAGGAGCAATGTAGCTACACCTGTCAGGAGTAGTTGGGAGAGCTCTTGAGCAGATATGGACAATCTCTCATTCAGGAGTCGTTACCTTTAGGTAGCCAAAGCAACTTAGTCTTTTGTTATGACCTATACATGGTGTAGAAGAATTTCTTCCTAGCAAGCTACCCCGTGTAAGGATGCATAATCTAGAATGAAAAATAAATAAAGTGACCTATTATAGTCATCATGAGGCCTATGCTCCAAGGAAGTGAGAAAGTGAAGTGCAAAGAAAAGAACTCGAGACTTCCCTACTTTGGAAGAGGTTATGGTTTTGGGTGTTTTATTTGTCAAAAAATGACTATCATATCGTAGAAAATGGGAGCCCTGTGGATTCCCCTAACACTCTTTGGTACACAATTAATTTGTCAAAAAAAAGGAAAATTGTGAAGGAGTGATTAACATATCTATTTTTGAAAAGAATTGGATATTTGTTAAAATTAGTGTAATTAGATAGTTCTATAATAAGAATTGAGCCTCCATAAATTTTTTTTTTCTTTCTAATAAATTCTTCACTTTTAAAATGGTGAGTAGGAAAGAATTGTAGAGAGATTGAATTTAGAAAATGAGTAGCAAGATTCAAAATCATTAAAGGTCTATCTAGATTTAGTAATCATAAAAAATTTATACTTACGATTGAAAAAGTCATCAGAGAAGCTTGAGTAGAAGTCTTACTAAAAATTGGTTTTACTACCTTTTTTTCCTAAATAAAAAAATTTTGACAGTCTTCCTCAATTTATTGAATGTTATGAATTATTAGAATGTATATAATGGATGTGTTCTATTCTTGTTATTTGACATTTACTTTGCACTAGTTGATATAAACTAACCTCTTTTTGAAATGGATGTGAAATTACACCTTACTTGTTGAGTGTAAGCTTTTTAAAACCTATGAAATGGATTTAGTCACTACAATAAATGCATTGATTTAAGTATGGAACCTCTGAAGCAAGATGGCTAGTAGCTTTACATGATACCCACTCCTTTGAGTTAGCTAAATCATTATTTAAACTGAAGTGTAACTTTTAAGTTTGGGAGATTTTGATGCATGAAAAATATAACCAAAATTTTGGGTTATTTTTGTACATTTCTATAAATGATATTTATACTTTAAGAACGATATTTTGTGTTTATCTTGTAGGTACAATAGATAATTGAAGTGAGGAAACTAAGAGAGAAATTGGAGCTAATGGGTGAAAAGTGGCACCGGCTCCTAAGTTTCGGATCCTTGGGGGCCTAGGCGCTAATCCGTGCCTTCCAAACCCAAGCAGTTGGCGCTTAGGCGCCTAAGCACCCATGCAAAATTAAAAAAACTAAGAGCTTAACGCTTAGGTGTCAGCCCTTAGGCGCCTAGGCGCTAGCAATTGCTTTAGGTAGTTGTTGCAGTTCAAGTGCCAGGTCATGGGAAGATCATGTGTTGAAGGAATTGTGTCATTGATGCTAAGTATTGGGGATTATAAATAGTCATATACTGCAGGAATTGAGTGATTGATGTTGGCTAGTTACTTAGGGGTTTTATTTTGTTTTGAGGAGCCACAGTTCTTCTTCTAAGTTCTGCGAGAGTGGTGTTCTACCAGGCAAAAGTGGGGCAATCAGGAGGAGTGCTATTTGGAGTCAACTTTGGTTATTATAAAGGAGGAATAGCTATGTATCTTTGTTTATTGTTTTGTGTTTTTTCAGTTGTATCAAATTGTTAGTGGATTTCTCTTCTATTCAATGTTATAGTTTGGGGATTTCAGCATGCTACTAGGGTAAACCTTTAAACTCTTTCTTCTGGTGATTAGTAAGGATGAATGGAATGTGAAGTCATATGTAATATCTTCATTTTCAAATCGTGATGATTAACCTTAAGAACTTAACTTACTTTCCATTTTGGTCAAGTGAATTGTTAAAATATGTTGTGAACCATAAGACTTGGGCAAGCTATGATAGAATCAACTAGGTTAATCACATTGAGCTATGGGGTATATGTTGATATACTATATAAGAAGATGCAAATGTTAGGAAAATACGTTTTGAAGGAATAGTTATGGAATTTAAAGAAATTAAAGTCAGTTCTATTCAAGATTATTTATGCACTCGGACGAGAGTAAGTAAGATTGTTACTCCTATTTATCACTAGATATTTTACTAATCACACATTTACATTCCATGTCATTTACTCAACTCAAAATGGGCTCATGAATTTTTACATTGGGTGATTATAATCTCTTAATCCAAAAAGGCCCGGAGATTAGTTATATTTTTATATTCGAGGCTAAAATGCTCCCATGCTAACAGATAGAAATCATTTTGATATTTTATTATTCTTATGTTTAATAAAAAAAATTTGAATATTATTTAAAGAGGTCTTATTCGACTTCTTAAGCGCAACGGAATGGTTAAATGAGAGAGCAAGAGCCCATGTGAGCAGTGGGCCCATACTCCTCCGTCCTTTTCCCAGCTTTCCATCTAGGTTCAGTAAAAAATTTCGAATCGGGTGGGTTGGGCTTTGGGCCCATCCATCCAATGGGCGAACCCGGTTTTTGTAAAATAGTGTTCTTTATTAAATTAATGAGCAAGCTGGGTTTAGCCTGTTTATTTTTAGCTTATCTCACGCCGAAAAATAGTTTTGTGCATTATTTATTTTGTGAGCCCATTTCTGAACCGACTGTGAATTATTGTTGGGTTGTTAGTTTATAAAATATTTTATTAAATTATGGGGCAGTTCGGTAGCAAGATTTAAATAATATTTAACTAGATTTTAATTTAAATCTCGCCAAATGATTATTTTGGTCTTTAATTATTACTATGTAGGCCCATTTTTTTGGCCCGGACCTCACCCAAAGCTGCAAAATCGATGTCGTGCCCACCAGCTCTCTCGTTCTGAACCACTAAAGATTCGAGAATATAACAGAGAGCAATAGGAGAGCAAAATTAAGAAAGATTTACATATGCATCCCTCAATTTTTATAAAATTACAAAAATATATAATTTGTTTTTTAAATTTTATGTATCGTCCTTCTTATCTATTTTATGAAAATGTTTTTTTCATGTTTTTTTTTAATAAAATGATTTTTTTTTTTTTTTGCAATACTAAAGATTTTGGTTGTATAAATGCAAAAATGTAAAATTTAGCTTATGTGGATTTAACTTCGTAGGAAGTAGGTGGTATATATATTTAC